TAACCCGCAATGTTGGTGGGCCAGCCTGTTTTACTTTTTTTTTTATTTATAATTTTTTCCTTTGAAACTTATCAATATTGAGTGGTAGCTCATAATTGAGTACTTCATAGTGATTTGTATAGTGACACATTGTGTTTATGACTTTGTGGTGTTGTTGATTTGGACTTATGTTTTAATTTGGAATGTTTGTTAAATAATTTAAGATATATTATATAATTGTATGTTTAATATTTTGAGATATTTGAAAGTTGAAACTTTAGATTCCATATTTTATTTATGATAATTCTATTTGCATGTTTTATTTTAGGTATTTAGAAATTTGAGTAAATTTTATTAAAAAAATAAAAAAATTATAAAAATTGGTGGGTTAGATTGGAAAAATTTGAACTCGCCAGAAGTTGATCCTAAAAAGATCTAGATCAAAATCACAATTTCTTATAAACAAAGAGGAAATTGGTTTTGTTAGGCTGTGTCACTGTTGGCTCAACAATAATCTTTGTTACTACTCTCTTCAATCCTTATAATATAGGAGCCAGTAAAAGGATTAAATATAAAAATTTCATTTTTTTATTTATATTTTTTGAGTTAATTTACTTAACTTGTAAACTGATATATATAAGAAAAAATCTCAAAAAACACTTTTAAAATTTCAAAATCCCAAATAAAAAATGACTACAAAAATATGTTATTATATGCTTTTTTAAATGTTGTTAATTATTGTTAAAGTGTAGTGAATTTTGAAATTTTGAAATTCAAAATTATTTTTTTTTGGATTCTCCCTATATATAATCTAATACTATATGGAAATATTTGTTAAAAAAATCACTTTTATTATAATTAACAACTTTATTTCACTTTCTTAATTTACCTTAAACATAGGAGGGGGTACTATTTAGACATCCTGTCATATATAACACCACCTCCGGTCCTTATTATATTAAGAAAGTTTATCAAGTTAGTTATTTATAATAAATAGGTGCCGTCTTTCCTAAAACATTCTTATTAATAATGTATATTAGTTAGACCTATCATTTGATAAAACTTTTAACATATATAATACAACTACTACTAGAAGAACTACTTTAAAAAAATAGACAAATATGAGAGACAAAATGAAGTAGAATCTTATATTTAGAATGAAATTAGCTCTTACATTAAGGATCTGATGTATTAACATTTTTTCCTAGTTTTAAATTTCTATTGGAGGATCCAGTACTTTTTTCTTGATAGGAATTTGAACCTTAATTTCCTATGTAGTGTAAGAATAATGTCTTTAGCTAAACTCAAACCCCATTGGTAATATTTTAAAGTTTTGATCAAATCATATTACATATATAATGCACACTTATTTTCCCCCTTTTTTTATATGCATTGCAGAGTTTTTATTTTATGATATTTTTCACATAATACCAGACGACAACTTTTTTCTTCATAAAATAGTAACAGAAATATTAATATCATGTCCTAACAGAAGATTGTGATTTCATGATTTGAGCATGCAATTAAATTAATTTAATTTTTTTTCTTTTAGAAAATTAATATTATTGCGTAAAAGATTAGTTTTATTTTTATTGACAGAAAAATAATTAGATAGAAGTTATGTGCACTTTTCAAAACAATAAAGGTACCTGTTAGCGTTATAAAAAGAGAATGTGGCGGAAGAAGGACAAGGAAGCTTACTCCAATCAGAGTACTCCCAACTTACGAGAATATTGCATTTGCAATTGGAAGATTAATTCCCACAAATCAACAATATCTATGAGAAGCTGAATTATTCATAGTCCGTATGAATTTATTAACAGTTCTCAGTTCTCACATCTTATGTAAAGTATACGGTTACCTATTTAATTAGTTGAATCTCAAGGGAATTTACAAAATTTATTTAATTTTTATGATTTTTATGATTAAGATCTTAATAAATATGTTTTTCTTTAAATTTGATTTGAAAATCATAAATATTAATTAAGCGATAATTATTAGATAAGTTACAAATGGGAAAATTAGCACCCTTAGAAAATTATATTGAAAATAAATTAACTAGCTAAGATGAAAAAATGAATTAACATGACCAGCTCCAAATAGAATAACATGTCTTAAAATAAATAATATGATTGTTATTTATTTCTTTTTAAAGAAATATATGTGTATTTTCTGAACATTGAGGACACGAATTTCTAATTATATTAATTATACGTGAAAATTTTAAGAAATTCAAAAGATAAAAAAATATATCAAAATATTGCCATGATCATGCAATAATATCAATTTGAGTTCAATATTTTCTCACAAAACTTAAAATGACTAGACGGGCAGAAATACAACGCGACAAAAGAATATTCCTTGCCCCACACACACACACACGCACATATCTGTGTGTGTTCTCTTTTTTTTTTTTTTTTCCTTCTTCAAAGAATAATATAAAAAATAATTAAAAATAACAAATATGTGAAAAATGTGACTTTTTTTAATTAAAAAAACACACTCTTATATGGAAAGAGAATGAGTAAGTGGACAATTAATATACTGAGACTAACCAATAATTAATAAAAATAATAAAATTTTTCATCCATATTACTAATGTCTCTTGTAAATAAAAACACGCCATCTGAAAAGAAATTCTCTCTCATATATAAAGAGGGAGTATAGCCATCCTCCTCATACCTTTTTTTTTTTGGTTGAAATATCCTCTTCATACTCTAGAACCAATATAAATTATAAATGTAAAATTGACGTTGAAAATTGGAGATTTAAAAAAAGACAAATTTTGTACACCGACCTGCAATTTAACCTTTTCACGTGCATTGAGTGACTAAAACTCAAGTTTCAAGCTAACACGCAGCTACTACGCTCTCCAAAGGCAATCCCTTCACCTATATATACAATTTTGTTTTAATATAATATTGTTATATTCCTAATCATTAATATAAATATAAGACCTAATTAATTAATTAATTAATTTGAAAAGATTAGAAAAGTTATTAAATTATTTAATTATAGTATATGTTATATGATCTCTCTAAAATATTTCTGTTTATCATTATATTATATGTCATTTTATAAGTGGGTCAAATTAATTGGAAGAAAAACGATAAATATAAATACTTAAAAATAATTTAAAATTTTTTAATCTTTTTAAATTAGTTAAATAGGTCTTATATTAAGAATTAAAGGTAGTAATTATTATATATTATGCCTTACACATATTAACGCTTCATTAAAAATTATCAAAGCTTATGCTATTTAAGCATTCTATAGAATTTGACGGCATATAATACCCAATGAAAAGATAATAGTAAATAAAATCGATATAGATTATTATAAAGGGACACATATATAATTAACAGTGTGATAATAAATTTATATGTTTTTTTGAATATAAAATCGATATAAGCGTAGCTGAGTGATTTTTTGTTGGTTGTATAAATCCTGATGTTATTTTTCTGATTATCTAGTTATATCCAATATCTTAATCATATTTACTCCTCTGGTCCTATTTATAAGGCACTTCCAGCATGTTTTGCACAGACTAAGAAAAACCTTAAAATTCATTAACCCTTATTTAAAATTTAATAACTTTCCAACTTTATTCCTATTCAATATACGTTATACCTCATATAAACAAAGTCAACACAATAATAAATGAGGGGTAAAATTGTACATCAATACAAAAAATTTCTTTCAGTGCCTTATAAATAAGACAAAAAATTATCTTCTCTCTCTGTCTTATAAATAGGACCAGAGGAGTATAATTCAAAAGTGTTGAAAACGCTACAAATAAAATCAAGATGTTAGATGTACAAAAAAAGTAATATCAAGAATTGAAAAACAATACTAAAATGTTGGATGCTACCTTACCTTATAAATTAACCTATTTTAATGATTGTTCGACTATATTCATATGTATAATTCTAAATAGAAGATTGTTGGCACTTTGAGGTTATGAGGGTTTCATATCCCTTTTAAAGGACATGACTACTTTAACAAAACTTACTCCTTTGTTAACCCACTGAATTCCCTTTAAGAAAATATATTGAATTTAGAGTGATGAATTTAAAATGTTCACGTGAAAATATAATACTCCTCCGGTCCTAATTATAAGACCCAATTGACTTATTTGAGGAGATTAAGGAAGTAAGTTAAGTTGGTTATTTATAATAAATAACTGTTGTTATTCCTAAAATATCCTTGCTAATTAAGTATATTGGCTAAAACTATCATTATTAGAAGGATTATCTTGGAAAAAAATACATAAATATAAGAGAGAAAATGGATTGGGTCTTATAATTAGGACCAAATAAAAAGTCAAATTGGGTCTTATAATAAGGACCGGAGGAGTATAATATAATCATAATGAAGAAGAAAACGTAGAAGTAGTGAATTAGGTTAATGAGCGCATATTGAGGCTTTATAAGTCGCGGCATCGTTTTCTGGATATAAATATAAAATAGATAGATAGCATTAGCTTTTTTCTTTTCGCAAGGTACGCATCCTTACGTTGTTGGACAGATCTGACATTCCGTAATTCTCAAACTAAATATTTCTTGGATATATTTTTTTATATTCCTCGAAATCTAGAAACCCATGCAAGTTTATTATTACTATAATCCCCTCTCTCTACGTAGTTCACCCCCCTAAACTGTGGATTTCAACTTTTGATCGAAATGCTCACAACAATATCGACCCACGCTCACGCTCTTCCATATTTATTTCTTTTGGATGCGAATTGTAGCCCATTCCTCAGACCAATCGTCTTCTCCTTCTCCAACTTCTATGTCTTCCTCATTACCCAGTACCTCCCTGATCTTGCCACCTGTCCCTTTTTGTGGTTTTCCTCTTCCTCAGTTTCAATGCCCTTCCCTTTCTTCCGTTCATTATCTTTCAACTTCAATTTAATATCTCCGTATTCTGTTGTACTACTATTTATGTTACTGTTTGTTAATACTTTCTTAAAATATCCACTGATGAATTTCTTTCAAGAGAGGTTAAACAAAAATCAATGCCTTGATGATCAGAGACATGCTATTCTGACTTGGGTATTTGTCATCTGTGAGTTTGATAAATGCGCCTCTATCAAGTTCTCATTTTTTTTTAATACCCCATTTGGTGTTTGAGCAATAAAAGGGACGCTCATGAAAGCATTTGCTTAATGATCTGTTGAACAACTTCATCACTCACTACTTCTTCTTCTTCTTCTTCTTCTTTGAAAGCTCTTTCAATGTTACCTCCTATTCTTTTTGGTGTACTCCTCGCTTGCCTGCCTTTTTCTTGCGGTTCCTTGCAGAACCAAGAAAAGGTACTAGAAACATCCACTGATTTACTTCCCAATTCCTGCAACGAAACATGTGGGAAACACCATGTTCCTTTTCCATTCTACGTGAACTCGTCTTGTGTGTCAATTTCTCATGCCTTCAATCTCTCTTGCTCGAATTCCTCTTCCCTTCTGCTCAGAATCGGCTCAGAAAACTACCCAGTCATTGAATTCTTCCCTGATGGTGTACTAGTGGACTTCCCAGGCACATTATCGTGTCGTCAGTACAATGACCTGAACTCGTTTGGTAAAAGTTTTGTGAGGAATGAACACTTTGGGGTCTCAGTGGATAATGTCATTGGTCTCTATGACTGTGAAGATTCTTCTCTGTGCAAAGCAGATTGTGAAACAGTTGACTTGCCTGGTTGTGATGGAAACGATGATGGTGGAGGTGGCTCACTTGGGTGCTGCTATCCACTTTCAGACCATAGTATATGGCATTTAGGAGAAGGGTTTTCAGTGTTTTCTGAGTACGGATGCAGGGGATTTTCTAGTTGGGCTGTTCTGAGAGGGTCAAATTCAGGAAAGCGTGGGGTCAAATTGGAATGGGCTATTCCTAAGAACTCATCCAGGGAAATTTGCTCAAGCAATGCAAAATTGGTGAATGCTACATCTGTTGAAGGTGGAGCAAGGTGTATGTGTCAAGATGGGTACGTTGGTGATGGATTCGCAAATGGAACCGGATGCTTGCAGGGTGAGTAGTAGTTTTCCTCATCTCTGAAAATTGCATTACAGCTTGTTGATATTATATTTTGTTGTTCTCTTGTTCTGATGCATTCATTTTAAACCCATGATCTAAAATACTAGTGTTAAACGTGCCTACTCTTTGAATTGTTCACGTCCGTGCTAGTTTCATGCTTCTTTGCTTCCAGATCGTGTGGTAAACAAAATATGAAGCACCGAACATGATGGGGAAATTGTCACCTTAAGATACGGGAGACTCTTTTCTATAGAAGCAAGCCTCTGCTTCCCTTTTTCTTCTTTACTTAGACTGCTGGCCTTGAATAATCTTAGAAATTTGTTAATTCTTTAGTAGTTATGGAGCTAGAAGTTATATTATAGTTCTTTCACTTTCATCTGGGCTGCTGTGCTCTGCGCAACCATAGATTAATTAATGATTGAATATTGAAGAAACCTCAGCTCAGGACTGCATCTATATTGAAAGGAGCATGTTTTCTTAGATAAGACCTGATAGTATACATATGAGAAAGCTAACTCAATCTAGGTTACCTATGAGATACAGTGAGTATGAAAAGATCAATGACTTCTACGCCAAAATTTTATGAATGTGTTTCTGGACAGAGTTCTTTTAGGTTTCGTGATCTTTTAGAACTTACTCAATTAAGTCAATTCAGATTTGACATTGGCTTCTCTTTGATGCATCCATTGCAGCCTGTGTCAAGGATGGACGTGAAGCATATGGCAGTGACTGCTACATCAGAAGAAAAGATCAAAGAAAATTTGTCATCATCGCTGGTAATTAAGCAACACTATACTCGTTTTTGCGTAAAAAAAAGGCAATTAGGACCAGTGTATGTTCAATTGTTCTGTCATTTTTTGTGATTCACTCCCCCGTGGCATTCTTCGCATGCAGGAATCCTTGGTCCGGTTCTTGTTGTTGCCTCCTTGCTAGCACTATTTTATCTACTTAAAAGACCACAAAAACCAGGCACGTTTGACAATGACCAGGACTATCACAACACCTCCTTTCAAAAGGCTTGCAGAACTCAATTGTTCAGCCTCCACGAGCTCGAGGAAGCAACGAAAGGTTTTGCTGAGGATCAGAAATTCATGCACAGCAGCAACAATGGCACAATTTTTGCTGGAGTTCTTGGGGATGGATCACATGCAGCTGTCCACAAGTTGCAATATGATACTGAGAAAGACCTTATTCAAGTCCTGGCACAAATTGAAGTTCTATCTGCTATTTCACACAAGAATTTGGCCAGCATTCTCGGATGCTGCATAGACTCTGGATATCCTTCTCTGGTTGTCTATGATTATCCTGCAAATGGTACCTTGGAGGACCATTTACATCAAAGAAAGGGACATAAACTTGGTTTGGACTGGAACAAGAGATTGACCATTGCTGCAGAAACAGCTAGTGTTCTTGCATTCCTACAATATGATACTTCTCCTCCCATATTCCACCACAACCTCAAACCTGGCTGCATCTTCCTAGATGATGATTTTTCTGTCCAAATTGCAGGATTCAGGCTAGTCAATACCAAATTCAACTATCGCTATGACAACAACATTGAAGGCTTGCATTTCTGCAAGAATGATGTTTATGACATGGGCGTATTGCTTCTTGAGATCATTTCAGGCTCAAATAATCACTTGAACTCACCAACCCAAGCACTTCAAAAAATTAGGACAGGAAAGCTTGAAGAAATCCTCGATCCCCTACTCTACTACCACGAGCAACCTCGTACTTGCCAGGAACAGATACAGATAATAGCAGATCTTGCTACAAGATGTATGCTGTTTGGGGCAGATGGAAAGCTGGGGATGATTGATGTTGCAAGAGAGTTGACACACATAACAAAAGAGAGTGTTGGTGTTGATGGAGGAAACACAAAAGGACCTGTTTTGGAAGAGACATTCTCAAATTCTAGCCTTCTTCAGATGATATCAATGTCTCCTGATTCTATGCACGTACCTTGAACTTCTTCAGATGATATCAATAATGGTCGGTTTCAGTTTTGTCAGTCCCACAAACAGAAAGGGAAAAAACACTAAATTGTATGTGCTTAGTGTGGATGAGAAATTCCCAGCCACTGTACATTGGGGAATGGATTGAATAATCTGGTTCTAGCATGTAATTCACTTGGCTCTATGAGCAAAGTGTATATATGGTTTATGTCTCTCTTTACAAATAGAATCAGTTATATCATATTATGCATGTATGAAAATCACTTTCTATATAAATGATCATTAGCAGTCTCTTTTGTGGGTATATTAGTTCTTGTAATTTCTGAGTTTTAAAGTCTATAGATTTCACAAGCTCTTTTAACGATTAGACGTTATTTGATTTTGTCCTCACCCGTGTTTTATAATCCTGTTTATTATATTTTTTGGCCAATTATTCCCCTCATTGTTCAGTCAACACAACTTTGTCAATGATTTGACATGATTTAAATTTTAGAGCAATTTAAACTTAAACCCAAAAAAAATTATAAGCCGTGCTCAAGATTTGGACTCAAGCTAAGAGATCATTTTTTAACTTTTCACAAGGATCCACTTTAATTTAAGGACATGAGAAATTCCAGTTATTTCAAATAAAGTAGCCAATCAGTAGACAATCACAATGTGGCTTCCATTATTGAAGGAATTCATATTAAGGCCTCGTGGTTGTTTAAGCGAAAGGCACAAATTGAGTTTAGAATATTATTATCACGTTGTTAATCTTGTTTCCCAAAAACATTGGTGTGGAATGCAATCAGTGCATTTTACGGTCGTTTGTAGATACACATTAAAAAAAGTGTTGTAGTAAATAGGTTTATATTCACAATGATTAAGTATAATAACCAACCTAGATGCTCTAATCTATGTTGGTTTCAAATAATACCGATATAGATTGTGATTTTAAAAAACAAATTATGTCTTCTTCTTTTTTACAATAAAGTTTAAGTGAGTTAGATTTGAAGAGCTTACTACAATCAGAACATGTCTTCAGGTTCAGAAAACGTTTATAAATTTACTTATAAATCACTTACTATACTAAGGTCTTTGAATCAATAACTTGATTTGAACTCACAACCTTATAAGTTATGAGTTGACTTCTTACTAACTAGATAAATTCTTATCAGCAAATTATGCCTATTTTGTTACAAACGTACCTGCTATACTAAGATAAAGGCCAGCACGTATTCAATCCTCTCAACGGATTATAACCCTGATGTTTTGAGCCAGAGAGCTTGAGTAAAAAGAAATGGAATAATTAAACTAAATGAAAGGAATATAGACAAATTAAATATTAATCTAATTAAAAATAATACTCGTCCGGTCTTTAATATATAACCCAATTGCTGAGTTAGTTTTAGTCCTAAATATAAGACCAATTTCTCATATTTATTAATTTTCTCTAAATTACCCTTATGAATACTCCCTCAACCAAAATCAAGTAGAAGAGTGAGATTGGGTATTAAGAAAGATAATTAAGATGTTTTAGGAAAAATGTGTCTTATTTTTTATAATTAACTAACTTACTTAACTTTTTTAATTTAATTAAAATAGTTAAATAGGTATTATATTAAGGACTAGAAGAGTAATTTTTAAGAATTCAAGTGATAAGATCTCTTGACGCTTTTCTCGACTTCAATAAATCCTGAAATCCAACTCATTTAAAATTTAAATTTTCAAGAATCATAATAACAACAATAATAATCGCAAGAGATAATTATCCTATATATTGTTCATTTCTGTCTATCTTTATTTCCCTGCTCTTTCGAACACATAATTAATTCTCAGATAACCTTGTAAATGAAATGAAGAACACTGACATGCTATGAGAATTGTCCAAAATCGTGAACAACGACTAAAATATATTTTTAGTCTTTTATTTTTATTTTTTTGAAACTTTTATCTCAAGTTTTCTTTTAATCTTATAAATTTATTTAGTTTTATTTAGTTTTCTAGTTTTAACAACATTTTGTTACAAATTTACCTTTTATTTTTATTTTTTTAGTTTTAATTTACTAATTTTTAATTTAATTTGAAATTTCACTTTGATTACTTAATTTTATCCTGTTAGAAATTAATTGTTAAATTATACCACAAGTTTTATTCTTCCGTGGTTAAGAAGACAAAGAACATTGTGATGCAGGATCATGATGCTGGTTGCTCCGTCCACTATGAGGAGCTCCAACTGCAGAATCGTGCACTTTACTATTGTCTCTACTTTATTTTATTTTAACTAATAGTTTTATTTATTTTATTGATAAAAAATATAGAAAATTTTTGTCAAACATTTTAATTTGACAAAATCATGAAAAAATGAATAATTTTTTAAAATTATCATTAATAATGGAATAGAAATAAAATTGACTAAAATAGAGTTAACTAACGCATGTAAGAAAATAATTTAAAATTAGCAAAAAGATCATTTATTTTGGGGCTGCTCCCACCCGAACGGATGGAAATGAGCAACTTTAGAAGTTCAACAAAAGATAGGAATGGTCAAGCTTATTCCCCTCATTTGTTCTCACAGAATTGACCATTTCTTCACTTTGAGATATAAATATGCTAACCACAATAACTACTTCAATCTCTCTGTTCGTTGCTCAAACCATTTATCCCTCTTCGTTCACACTTACTCTCCGGCAAGGTACTAATCATCCTTTTCTTTAAAATCTTGTCAATGAAATCCTCAATATATCCTTTCTGGCTTTTCCTCTAGTTATTGCACAAGGGGTGTTTGTTAAATGTACCAAGCTGTCATCTTTTTAAACTTTTTCTTGCATGGCTACAATTTTAAGTCTTTCGCACTAGTGTTCAGCTTAATTTGACAAGAGACAGAATCAACCCTTTTTGGGTTTCATTTTATCAGGCATCACGAAGTGGTCTATTTTGAGATTTGTAATAAGAGTGATGTGAACAACAAAATGTCACTCTCTTTTGGGAACAATTCATTTGGCCAAAACTAATGAACAAGGTCAAGAAACAAAAGGCATATTTTTGAACTAAGAAAAAGATTAAATCAATTGGTAAGATCCAGCTGCATTAGTTTAAATGAGTAATCAGTTAAATCATTGTTCAAGCGTTGGGATCTTGCCTGGATATTGAACCATAAGTGTTCCCGCTGAGACATCATTCGTAAATCTTCAAAGAAGTAGAATAGGCTTGATGGTTGTTCTATGTCTACACTTGATCGGCATTATTTCTTGTTTCAGACCAATTTTTCTCTCACCGTCATCGTAAATAATGTCCTAAATTTTCCTTTTCCTTGAGTGTCATGTCATAGATGAGTCAGCCAGAACAGTCAGCTGAACCCACAGATAACCGTCCCCGTTTAAATCAAAGGATTCTTTCATCTTTGTCAAGAAGATCAGTTGCTGCTCACCCTTGGCATGATCTTGAAATTGGTATTAATGTTGACCGCGCTACTCATCCATAGTTGTCTTTTTTATTGACACTTAACCAGATGGTTTAAATTATTTTGATTGGCTATTGCAGGACCTGAAGCTCCCAATATTTTCAATTGTGTAAGTCTTCATCTTCTTGAGGAATAAATAGTAGTTGCGTTACTACACATACTTTCTCTGCAGAGATTGCAAAATGAGGCCATTATTGGGCATAGTAGGAAACAGACATCAAATACAACCCCAGAGAGTTGGCTTTTATTATCACCAATTTAAGATGGTGCCATCTCTTATCGTTTTGGGTTCAAGAGTTTTATCGGATTTATAATCCTAAAATCATCAAGGAAAAGGGATTTAATTATCAGAAAAACCCAAGAACAAACTCATCAAAGAAACAACTACGAAACCACAATGTCCATATTACATAAAGTGCAGAATCCAAATTCTTGGTTAGCAGCCTTGTCAAGTTTTAGGCCGCAGTTTTAATCAAACTGAAACTGGAAAGAATCAATCCAAAATGGAATCTTGCAGCAAGATTAAGTTGAAGTCTGCACTTCTCCATTTGATTGTTGAAGAGATTACTATAATTTCAATGTGAGACCATGTTCCTTGAAAACCTCGTTAAATTCATATTTTCATTCTTCCTAACGACCATTAAGTGCCATTGTCCACATTTTGAAATCTTCAATGTCTGATTTTCTCCCAAGGGAAGTCTTGGTGTTTATGCATGCTGTTGAATGGTTAGTTGCTGCCTGCAGGTTGTGGAGATCACTAAGGGAAGCAAGGTCAAATATGAACTTGACAAAAAGACTGGAATGATCAAGGTTTGAACGATTTGCCTCGTTCAATAACCATGACTAATTAATGAAAATAATATAAGTTATCAACGTTCTATTTCCTTCTTTCTGCTTAGGTTGATCGCATTTTGTATTCATCGGTTGTTTATCCTCATAACTATGGCTTCATTCCTCGTACTCTTTGTGAAGATAATGATCCACTTGATGTCTTGATCCTTATGCAGGTAACTTTCATGCCATCTGCCACTAGGCTTGTTTTTCAAATACATATTCTTTACACACTATTCTTTCATTGTTATCAGTAAATATAAAGTTCTGATAATTGTCATAGTCTGTGCTATTGTCAACTTCATATGAATGAAGGCCCTGTGTTTGAACTTGACATAAATAAGGAAATTCTAAGTGGCTCACTAATATTTCATGTATATAGGAGCCGGTTCTTCCGGGTTGTTTCCTGAGAGCCAGGGCCATTGGACTGATGCCTATGATTGACCAGGTATTTTGGACCTTTTTAGCCTACAAAAGCCCATATGCAGTTTTCAAGTGTTCGCCATAAAATCTCGAGTGAAATTTCCTCCACATGTCATTACTTTATTGGAAAAGTCCATAGCAAGTACTTAAATGAACTTTCCTCCTTTCCCCTAATCCTTGTAATGAATAATGTTATCGGTACAGGGGGAGACCGATGATAAAATTATTGCAGTGTGCGCTGATGATCCAGAGTACAAGCACTATAACGACTTCAAAGAACTTCCACCCCATCGCCTCTCTGAGATACGCCGCTTCTTTGAAGATTGTATCCTTAACAACCTTAAAAATGGTGTCCCTACCAATCTGATAGTTCGCAGGTTTTTAGCATCACTTTAATGGAATTGAATTAAAATAATACTCTGGAGATATTAGACTGAAACACAAAAATAATTGCAAGACTTTTTGTTGAACCTTGAGTTCAGGAACTTGTTGCCTAAGGTTTTATAAGCTTTATATGTGTTTCTTGAAAAATTGATCAGACAAGAAGAATGAGAATAAGGAGGTAGCAGTTAATGACTTTTTGCCTCCTTCTACTGCCGTTGAAGCCATCCAGTACT